GCCACTTGGGCCAGCTTCTCCAGGGAAATCCTAAGGTGTTCCCCGACCAGACGAGGCTTTCACATCCGGGTCGAGCCGGTGCAGCCCTGGCAGGTTAATTGTGTTCATATCTGGGTAATCTGTGCGCTTTCCATGCTCAGTTGACCGTTGGACCTGCTCTCCAGCGGTCCACTTCGTGTGAAGCTAACACACCTAGTGCCTAGAGCCTCTTGGTGGGTAGAATGAGCCAGCAGAGGCTTCCTGTATGTGCCATTCATGATCATTTTGGATGCAGTGGAGTAAACATCTTCTGACCGCAGCGTGGAACTGCTCCAGCCGTGGCAGTGTGAGCACAAACAGCCGTGATGAGCACACAGCAGTCTCAGTGATAATACTCTCCAAACGCAACACTGCTCACGGCTGCCTTTGATTACTAACTTAAGGAAAACACCACAGACTTCATGGTATGAACAAAACCAGGCCATGCAGAGGCGGGCTGGTGCTACAAAAACTGGACCGAACCTGCAGAGAAAAACTCTTCACCCAAAGCTCGTGACCATAGATGAGGGTGGGAACGTAGATTGAGCGGTAAATCAAGAGCTTCCCCTTTAAAACATTTATGACATTTGTGTTTAAAGAAAATACTCTACAAAAAAGATTGATCTGAATTGCTGATATTAGTAGTATTAATCCTCATAAACCAAAAAAGCAGCAGACTCAGGCTCTTATTAATGTAACACACTGATGGATCATTTATACTTATAATAAAATCTGAGGCCATTTCTCAACACACACGAGGCCTTTAGAATAACACGTCATTTCTTAAAATTGGACTCAATGTTTCATGCAGTCAGTGATGTTAAAAGTTACAAAATATATGTTGTTTATCTATTAATCTATTCATCAACTAGATGTAAAAATGTCTTCTAATCATTAAACCCTCACTGTCCTAATGAGGGTGACCCCGCGAGGAAAGTTGACCATTGAGCAGGGTTGATGGTTTATCCCTTGGGTCCACGTGGCAGGGGTGAGGAGTGAGCACCACCTCACCCCTGCCACGTGGACCTCAAGGGATAAACCATCAATCCTGCTCCATGGTCAACTTTCCTCGCGGGGTCACCCATAAAGACCGTGGGAGGGTTAAAGCCCATAATGGATGAAATGAACTAATACAAGCAAGTAGTGGATAACCATATATTTATGCAGACCAAAATATTCTGAGTAATCAGATTAATTAGAGACTGAAATCCAACGTGGAAGCATGGACGTAATTTGGGGGGGGGGGGGGGGGGGTTCAGGCGGGACATGTCCCCCCCACTTTTTCCAAAGTCAAGTTTTGACCCCTGCACTTTTTACTATCCAAAAACAATATTACGCTGTATTCAATTGACACTGGTTGAGTTCTAGGACCAAGCAGAAAACAACCGTTTGTGTTGAATCCTGTTTCCCATTAGAGCATACTGTAAAGATCCCTCCCCCTTTCTAAGTTGAAAATTACGTCCATACGTGGAAGCATCAGAAATACTGCACAAGGTTTGTCAAAACTGCTGAATGCAGGTTTAAAAAGTCAGAATAAGTTTAAATTTGACCTTTTAAATGATTTCCAGCTTCATATCCCTTTTGCTCTGGTGTTTAAAGTTAAAGTCCCATTAGTTGTCACACACACAGGTGTGTGTGCAAAATTTGTTCTCCGCATTTGACCCATCCCCTGGGGGAGCAGTGAGCTGCAGACACAGCCGCGCTCGGGAACTATTTGGTAGTTTAACCCCCCCAATCCAACCCTTTAATGCTGAGTGTCAAGCAGGGAGGCATTGGGTCCCATTTTTTCAAAGTCTTTGGTATGACCCGACCAGGAATCGAAACCCATATCTCCCAGTCTCAGGGCGGACACTCTACCACTAGGCCACTGAGAAAGGATAGGCAACTTGATCATCAGTTAAGATATCTAAAGATCTCACACCACCCTAAAAGTAACTGTCTAAATGCACCATCAGTCGTAAGGTGGCTGTTAAACAGAAGCGCTCTTTAAAATCCATGGCACACTTTGAGCTTGATGAGTAGCATCAGCTTAGATGAAACAATGCAACTCTCCAAAGCTAACGTGTCCCAGATCGGGAAACAGTCCCAGTACTGACCTTGTTGCTTCAGAAAGCATGTGTGTGTGCGCACGTGTGTCGAAAGCACTTCATCCATGTAAATGAGTAGCTTGTTCGTATGTCAGCACAACACGGCGACTCCACACCCCTCAGCCACCCTTTTTGCTGCCTAATTCTTTTCTTGGGTGTCCCACAGAAGGTAATTCATATTCATTAGTGCTTCTGTGGAGGATGATGTGTGCACTGAAGTGTGCGCTACCTGCCTGATTACCACTTTAGCGGCCCCGTTGGGGCTAAGGAGGAGGGCCACAGAACGAGAGGCCAAGGATGGTGAGAGGACAGACTGATGATGGGAGACCAGTGTGAGGCCAGCACAATGGATCATGATTGTAATTACAAGGGAGAGATTTGACCAGATAAGCAGTATTGGGTCCTGCATATGAGCATCAGGAGAGGAATCAGTGTGGCGGTAATCTAAAGTGAAGGTGATGGGAGATGAGAGGGAAGAGCGAGAGACAGATGGGAGAGGCGTGGGGGAATACGATATGAGATGAGCGGCTCAAGCTCCCTCAAATGCACACACACACTTTCACACACACCCTCGAGGATTTTAGAAGCTTCTCCTTTTAAATTGTGCTGTTTCTTTATACTTTGTTCCCAAAAATCCAAGTTTCTGTGTAATCTTTTTAAAATAGTCTCAATGAGTAGATTTCCGGATTTCTCAAGGTTATTAAAAGTTTATTTTGGATACCTTTCCATCATTTTAATTCCAGATTTAGTTATTTAATTTTTTATTTATGTATCATTCTGTCAAAATAAATCACCAGGCTTGTGTCAATAGGCCGACTGGCATATAAAAGATTGGGAAAATTTGGATTTAAAGGACTGTGAGGAAATCTGACTCCTTGGTAGCGAAAATGAATAAAATAGGTTTATTGAAACAGCGCTGTAGGCGTGCGTCTTACCGTAGAGACAGGGTGTAGTCAGAGCGGTTTGTCTGGCTGTTCCTCACCAGGTAGCTACACTCTTTACACAGCGTTAGCAGCGACTCCGCCTCTGAGCGGGACAGTGAACCGTGGTACCATCTGTTAGAACCAAAACAACAATAAAAAAAAATATGGCAAGAAGTGGAAATATAATCTAGAAACATGGAAGACAAAAAAAAAAATCCTTTCAAGTTTAAACAGCCTTAAAGAGCCCATAATGGATTAACAGAGCATAAAAGTTTATGTGTGTGTGTGCACAAAACATCTGTGCTTAAGGGGTGCCATGTGCACGAGTTTCATTAGCAAAACATCTCTTTATGTGTAGAGACAGGACATAAATTGCACCAATGATGGTTGAAAGGGAGACAAAAGTAAGCGTACGCCTTGAAAGCTTCGACTTAATTAGTTATCATTCTAACCTTTCCCAGTTCTGCTGAGCTGAAACACATAACAGCTTCATTTGAATATGTTCAGGCTCTTAATAGATCAGAGCAAGGCAATAAAACCAAATGCTTCCGTCCACATTCACACATTTACGAGTACTTTTGGAAAATAATTTGATAATTGTGCACGTGTAAGCTATTCAGAAGCATTTAAATCTGGCTACAGCCAAATTTACTGCACAACATTGGTTTTTACGAGTCTCTGTAATGCTCTTTGCAAAATACCTGGATTTAATTTAGATCTCCAACCATGAATGTGATGTTCAGATACAGAAACAAGTGTTTCTATGGGTTTAATCATACATACACCTGCTGCTCCAGAGGGAGAGTGGCGTCCACCCTCTCCCCCATCATCGTGGGGCTTTCATGCGGTGATCTGTACTTCATTCCCCCTCCTGCTAGCGGGCTGGATCTGGGCCCGGGAGGACGCAACCGCTCAGTGGGCGACGACGTGCGATCCCACTCTGCACCTTCAAACTGCACTGTGGGCAGAAACAGTGAGTCATGTTATTTACACAGCAATATGATCTAAGGGGATTAAACCTCACAGTCAGACTGGAGCAAACACCAGATATGCGACTGCTGCTAAACCACGGAGGAGGATTAGGGAGGGATGGGTCATACTGATAAACAACGGGTCACGGTCAGACTACAACACAACTACCAGCATCCTTTTAGTTACTGGAAGTGATGAGCCCTTCAGGGCAGATGGGAAACAGGAAGTTTGAGTTTTTGTTTCTGTTTGATTCATTATATACTCTGCAAGTTTTATTTCAGACACAAATCTTCCACATTTTAAGCTTTCACAAAACATCTTCTGTAGGACCTTAAATTCAAAATTAAAGGGCATTTTTATTACATGAAGCTAAATGTCAGTGTTTCCAACATTCAACAGTTGCTAAAGGCAGGAACAGATGCAGGTGCTGCATATGCAGGCCGCTAGGGGGGTGGAGCAGATGTCCAACAACAGGGTCATAAAGGTCTGAACGGCTTACGTGTGTTTGTGTTCAGGCAGATAAAGGAAAGCAATGAGGGCAGAGGGGTGCAGAATGTTCAGGGTGAGAGGTCACCTTGCTCTCTGACGGGGGGCTGCTGCTCCTCCAGCTGACCCACTGGGGCAGGCCAGGGCAACTCCGACAACTCCCTCATTTCTAATAAGAGTAAAGGGGAGCAGGGAGGAGGTGAGACAAAAAGGGAGCGAGAGAACAGCAGACGGGCTTTTAAAACCACAACCAAGTAGGTGAGAGAAGAAGTGATGATGATGAGGTGAGACCTGAGCTTTAGAGGAGGATTTTTAATGCGAGGCGGAGATGTGAGAAAGGGGGAAGTGAACGAAGCCCCATAGAGGATGGAAGTGAGAGGCGGTGCAGTATGTGTGGAGTTGGCATGCATGCGGTGTCAAGAGTAGTTAACTATGCCTCCTGTCATGAGGAAAGGTAATGCAATATACTCCCGGTCACATTGCTTCCAACACAAGCAAAAACCAAAGAGTTAGTGCTTCAGAAGCAGTGTTTACAGTAATAAGTCATGTGTGAGACTGAAAAAGCTGAGAAAACAAAGTGAAAAAGAGAGGCTAGAAGTTGGGTTATTTATAGGAACTTTAAATGATGAGAAATGGCTGCTTGGCAGATGCATCAATACCAACTAAAGGTGTGATGCAACACAGACAACAGCGTGATGGAGGAAATGAGATGCGCAGGAGCATAAATAATACTCCCTTCGATGTTCTACCTACAGCTGGAGAGCAACAGACGGTGCACTGGGAGGCAGAACTGAAAATAGCTCATTATATACCGTGGCCGACTACTGAAACAGCCATTACTGCTGCCTTCCACGTGAACAGAGGCACATTATGCATCGGTGCCGGTATCTCAATGGAAATTCAGCTCTCATTCTCTGCAGAACCGGATCACTAAACAAATAAAAAGGAAGAGAGGGGTGACATCTTAATGAGCCGACAATCCAAAGACCCCCCAAGCCGGCGACATCAAAGGCCATCTGAATGGGCGTTTTGAGAAAGACTCGGCTGTACATACACGCTTCTCCCCTTCCCTGGTTAATTATTGAGCAGGCAGACGCACTCTGCCACTTTCTCTGGCTCTCTTTAAATTATTTATGCGTGGCGCAGTACAATGGCCCCATCTGGAGCGAGCCGCACCTCCGCCGATGCCAGGATTAAAGAGTGGCCTGGCACTTCTCAGTGGAAGACACGCACGCAAACACAGGTCCACGCATACGTGTGTACAAAAACGCTCCAGAGAGCCCCAAAACACCACAGCTGCCCCACTCCGCTGCCCGTCAGTTTCACACCTTCTCATACACAACTGGCCTCACTACACTGGTTTCCAGTTCAGTTTAGAATCTAGTTTAAAATCATTATTTTTTGTTTTTTAAAGTTTCCTAATGAGGTAGCAATCCAAACTCTTTCGGGCTTTCACCATTTTGCACCAGTCAGGTCGCTTAGATCAGCAAAATATGGAACAGGTTGCAGACTCTGGAACAGCCTACCAGGTCCATCCATCCATCATCGTCCGCTTATCCGAGGCTGGGTCGCGGGAGCAGCAGCCTAAGCAGAGAGGCCCAGTCTTTCCTCTTTCCAGCCACTTGGGCCAGCAGTTCTGGGGAAATCCCAAGGTGTTCCCTGGCCAGCCGAGAAACATGGTGCCTCCAGCATGTCCTGGGTCTTCCCTTTAGTTTCTTCCCGGTTGAATGTGCCCGGAAAACCTCACCAGGGAGGCATCGTAGCCAGATGCCCTACCAGGTCATGTTCAATAAATCTACTGTGGTTTCTAGTGTGAATGAATGCCTCGTGAGTCATTTTCTGTAAAGAAAAAAAAAAGCCCTGGAAGTTTCTGGAAGTCGAAGTTAGTTGGTGAAGTGGGGGAGGAAAATGGCAGAATTTTGAATTTTGTTCATCAATATTCATGAAATGTATGCATCTCGCTTAGGGGTGGTAATTGATAAGTTTTTACCAACATCAATGGCATTGTCGATTCAGTCTGCCGATCCAATTCCTTATCAGTCCTTATCAATGCCAGAGTAGTTCAATAGTTGGCACAAAACCAATAGCACAAGGCCTCCTGGATTATACAGTAATTGTTGGATTATTTATGATAAACAATCGGTTGTACCTATATCGGTTGGACACATCTTTCTAAATGTTCTCCTTATGCTCCGTTTGTAGCAGTGTTGCTGCAGCTTTTGTGGAGTGGATCTACACAGATCGAACTTTAGTCGCTGGAGTCTGCTAGTGTGGACGTGTGTATATATAAGGTAAATGACACCAACACAATATGCAGGGTTAGTTGATAAGTTACCTGCAGTAGTAACAGGAGAGAACGTGCAAATGCCACAGCTGCTGCTGCGTTGAAATTCATTAATCCATAGCAGGTCAAAACACGTCATTAACTCCAAGTTATCTCGTATTTTGTGCCCAAATGCCTCCTTCCCTTGATGAAATATCTACTATCTAATTAATGCAAGTTACCCAGTTGTAATCCGTTCTTGTAAGATATAATCAAATTTTAGCGCATTTGTGCCACTTAAGACGCCATGTTTCCTGCTTCCATAAGCTACACAACATGCGTGGTGACGTCCTTCACGCTGACTGGAATTGATAAGGGGAATCGTTTGTAAAAGTGGCAAACGATTCCCAGGAATTGAAACAATGGGAACCGGTTCTCAACAAGAACCAGTTTTCCATTCCTAACCCTAGTCTCGCTTCTGATTGGCTAACAACCACTCAACTCTTCCTCTGCTTTAGTTCACTCTTCTTTCTTGGGTAAAATACTGCAAACCTGAAGTTTCTTGTTGACTAATAACACAAGTCAATTGTGTTCTGCCAAGATGTAGCATTATGTTTTTTTTCATTACTAATGCTAATGGTTAGTTTCTACCAGCCGAGACGTACTCTGCTCTCTCCTGGCCACAGAATCAACAACAGCCTTCACTGTTGCAAGACAGACCTGTGTGGCTTTTTCTGACATGATTGTTTCCTCGTCAGTTTTCGATCAGCTGCTAATGCAGAAAATATGGGTAGAAGACTGTTTGCACATCACATTTCAAAAAGAACAAATAAAAATAGTTTCTCAGTGAGCTCATGAGTGCATCGATCCTAGCTCCCTCCAGAGAACGCTGCTATTGTGTCCTTTGGCAACGCACTTAACTCGCCTTGCCTGCTGGTGGTGGTCGGAGGGACCGGTGGCACCTGTGGTCAGCAGTCTTGCCTCCGTCAGTGTGCCCCAGGGCAGCTTTGGCTACATTGTAGCTCATCATTACCAGCATGTGCATCAGGGGCGGCGTTAGGCCCGGCTACTGGGCTCAAGCCCCGAATCTTTAATGAAAAGCCCTGGATCTCAAACGTGGAAGTAACATGCAGTACCAAAGTCTAACAGAGAGGGAGCAGCTAGCAGTAGTTTGTATACAGCCTGCCTGAGCCTCCACCACTGAAGAAGAAGCCCTTCAGCAGCCGGCTTCTTCTGCAGTGCCTTGTTTCTTCTACACTCTGCCTGAAACGCATGAGTGAAGATGGACATGAGGACGTTTTTTAGACCAAAAGTACAACGACAGAACCCCAGCTTTGATGAGACTGGTGTTGACTCAGGTTTGTGAGTCTTATTTGAAAATATTTGTTGTGCTGCTGGTTTGCCTAAAGTTAGCTTACTATCAGGTAACGTTGTTGGAGAAAGAAAGGGAATATTTACTATCATCTCACACTAAACACTAATAGGAACAATACTCTGCCCTGAATATGCTTAATATGTAGCTTCAGATTAAAAATTATGTGGTACAAGACTTTTATATTTGATATTGACTAGTACGTGTCACGTGTGTGTGTGTGTGTGTGTGTGAGTGTGAGTGTGAGTGTGAGTGTGTGTGAGTGTGTGTGTGTGTGTGTGTGTGGTGTGTGTGTGTGTGTGTGTTAAGCCCCGGAACTTCTTCAGTCCTTAATCCGCCCCTGATGTGCATGTGTGTGTAAATGGGTGAATGACTGATTGTGTAGTGAAGCGCCTTGGGTTTTTTTTTACAACCCTAAGAAAGCACTGTACGAATGCAGACCATTTACCAAACGAGACACCCTTTTACTCTTTTTTTTTAATTCATATTGAGCTGGACTCCTAATATTGATAGCTTTAATGTCTTATTTTCTCAATTACGTATTTTCTTGTAATAATTTTCATATATATTTATTATGTCCATTTTGATTAATTTTATCCCGGTTGTATTTTTACTCTCATCACTTGGGTGAACATTTGTCATTTTTAAATATGCTCCACGAATAAGGTCAAGGTCAATTTTATTTATAGAGCGCATTTACAGCAGCAAAGCTACACCCAAAGTGCCGTACAAGCTAAAACAAATCAAGGTACAACAAATCAACAATAAAAACCTAAAATAAGATGAGCACACAACAGTCACAATCTATAATAAAAACTGTTAAAACTGTTAAAAAACTATTAAGATGCTCAAGTCAACCTGCATTTAAAGCCAAATCAAAAAAATAATAATAAAGAGTATCAGAATAAAGAGAGCAGAGTTGAGACACATAAGCTACAAGAATGATTAGAAAGAATTAGTTGCTAATTAAAACTGTGCTCAGCCATCTGAATTAGGGATAAGCTTTTGGTGGCAACCACCAGTTGAAAGGGAACATTTTTATCAATAATTTGGTTATCTTAAATTCATGTTAATCTTTATGTTTTGTATTAGATCATAAAGCTGATGTTCTCTAAACTTTTGGTCGTCAAAACCAAGTTAAGTTGAACAATGCCCACCACTTTGAATAAAGCAGCTGTATCTTTCATCTTGGTCAAAGTCACCTTTCTTCCTGAACTCTGAGCAAGTCAAACCACTGGAATACCTGGACTAGTCTAAAACAAGTTAATCAATAACCTACAGTAGTTGTCCTTCAGGTAGTCAGAGACATTTCCTCAGAACCTAAAACATTCATAGGTAGCAAAAATAATGACTGAAAACAAGTTAAATGTTTTAAAAATTGTGTCACCTGCAAAAAAATAAAAAATAATAAAATTCCAAAATTATGTATTTAAAAAGTAACATTCACAGAAAGTATGATTATTAATAATAGAGCTTTTTAGCCAAAGCCAAGCTGACTTGACTGGGAATCTGTAGTTATTTTCCACACGTGAAC